TCCTGATGGCACAACTCGTAATAATACAAATACATCGAGGGCAAAATAGTCATTCACATACATTATTTTATTATTTCATAACACTCCCCCTTGAATGACTATTTTCTAAACATATTTTAACTAATTTGAACAAAGCCCAATCTGTACATCTTCAAGTGTATCTTGTGGCCATCAGGTACTGTTGCTTCAACATGTCAGGAAAACCCGGTGGGACAAAACCTGATCATCTTGAAATCATAACATTGTTTCTTCAGGAAAACTCGGTGGGACAAAACCTGATCATCGTGGAAGCACAACTTTGCTCCCCCTCAAATAGATCATCTTTTTAGTGGAGTATCCACGTGCTGCCTCGTTAAAACCTTGTCAAGAAAACCCCGTGGGAAAAAACTTGATCGAAGGAAAAAGAGTACAGCTACTCCAGTCTCTCTTATCACCATGAGGAATCATATCATTTATCCAATAGTGCTCATGATACCATGAATATGCCTCGTTAAAACCTTATTAGGAAAAACCCAGTGGGACAAAATCCTAATGAAGGAAAAAGAGTACACTATTCATGTGAATACGCTATCCTTGTTGCCTCATTAAAAACCTTTCTAGGAAAACCCAATAGGACAAAACCTTAGTCAAGGGAAAAAGAGTACAACGCGTATTTCATATATTCACCATAATAATCTTTCCATAATTTGTATGAGTATCATATAAATTCGTTCAGATTTTCAGATACTGATGGTATTCATGACAATATGTCATATCATGCTTTGTGCAACGTTTATTCTTAAACTCATTCTCATCATCAATTGATTTCAATGGTGTTACTGCCAATAGTTCCCAATATTCACATTTCAGCTGATTTCATTCTCGTCAATATCATTTATATAGCGCTATTCATTTGTTTGTGTCGACACTTATTCATTTCCATTATTCCCCGTAGTATATTGAGATATCTCATTATCAATTGATTTCAACAATAGTAAATATACCCTCTTTCATCACTTATTCGGGGAATTTCAATTTGCACAATACCAATGCTTCCAGCGTATTATTCCACTATCATATCATTTCATATATTTCACATCATCAGTATCATACAGTTTATGATTCGCACACTCTCAGTGTGATGCATATATCATTTCCAAATTTCAATCATTGATTCTCCCCCTCATCTTAACAGATCCCTGATCTGTATTTTTAGTATTGAATTTCTTGAGGGGAGTTCATATAGTATCTATTTTGTTCTTGATTTCAACATATATTTGGAGGACTTTGAACTCATATCATTTGTAGTGTGCACATTTTTCTTTCAAGAGTTCATCATATCAGGTGAGTATATATTACTAGCTTCATCACTTTCATATGACACTTATTTTCATTCTTTCATAATCATCTTGTGTCATCCTTAGATCAAACCATCTCGTAAATTCAGGTTACGAATCACACACATGTGGCTATCTAGTGGATCCATAATATCTAGTAGCACACATGGAGGGGTAGTGGGCCCATATATATCGTACCCCTTTCATACTCAGATTGATCATATATCGATTCACAAATATTTAGCTAGTAATATTTTTCACCAATCGGGAACAAGCATCTCATATCACAAAGAATAAGTTCATCATGCAAACCATTATCGGTAAACATTTTTAAAGTGATCACAATAATTCGTTGTGACATGTTTATCACAAACATTTCACATCATCTTTCGGCGGCAATAAATGCACTTTAAGTGTAGGCTCTGGTACAATATCTTTTAACCACTGTTTAAATCCAGAATCGTATCATGCTGTCTGACACACATATTTTTTGAACACTGTTTAAGTCCAGAGTCGTATCTTATACGCATCATATTTTTCTATAAATTATCAGGTAATTCATTCAATTTTCTTTAACAAAGGTCCGAATTTACAAATAGATTTAGCACTCTCAAATATCCGTAAATATTATTCTTTTCTTCCGAAAAATATCATAAAAAGGATTTATCGATCTCGATTAGAAAGATTGAGGATGCTAATGAATAATGGTATTCCAAATGACGTTAGATGGTTGATCGAAGCACAAGTTCGATTGTCTGGAGAGTTTCCAAATTCATATAAATATATGCCAGGTATGGGTAAAAGTACTTACGCAAAGAAACGAAGAGCAAAAAGGTTAGGTGGATGCTTCAAATGTGCTCGATGGACTTGTGACACACGATGTAAATCTGTGGGGTACGTGTCCAGAAATCGAGAAGATAAAATATCATTTATAAAGGATGGATTGAGTAAGGAGTCTCTGGATCACACGATTCAACAGATTCTTGAGACACATCCTAGTGGATACGTACATCGTGAGCTTATGTCTTTATGGATTCAGTTCAAAAATGAAGAAGAACGTTATAGTCTCAAAAATATTATTTCAAAAGATCAAGTTTGTAAAACTGGTCTTGTTAGTACGAAAAATCATACTAATACAGTTTAGTATGTTGTACTGTAATTTTCTAGAAAAACTTATAGTTGCCGACAGATAAGATTTATTTAAAACCCAACACCTTATCTGTCAGTTGCAATTGTCAGAAGAAAACAGTAAAATTATTTATTGCTTTGTAAAACTTTCTATTTAAATAGCGAGTCGTTCATCATAATCATATGCCTCACAAAGTTTTGAAAAATTCAGTTTATCAATAAATAGATGGATGTTTCAGAGTCTTCGCAAGGTAATAATTTTCTTCAACCGATCAAAACCATATGTGTTCTTGGTGGTTCTAAACTGGTAAGTTTTTCTCAAACTATTGATATTGTAAGTCAGTTAGTCAAAGAGATGGGGAATCAAAAAATCAATTTGCTGTATGGAGGGACTAGCAATACTTTCTATGATAGTCTCTTAATGGCTGGACAATGTTTTGAGATAGAAGTGAAAAGTATCATACCTTTTCGTAGAGCTTCAACAAAGGTCGTCAAGGATTCCACAAGCATGATGTTAACTCATTCCATTCATGATTGTATGATGGATATGGTGAACAATAGCGATGCTTTTATCATTCTTCCAGGCGGGTATGGAACGCTAATGACAATGTTCACCATTGCTTTATGGGCAGAATTGAAACTTCATAACAAGCCCATAGGTCTATTGAACTTTAATAACTTCTTTCATGGTTTGCTTGGATTTTTAGACATAGGAGTATATCAAACCTTTATATCTCCTTCAATGAGAGAAGTATTCAAATCTGCTGACACGTCTGCTGAACTTATCAAAAAGCTTCAAGAATGCATCACATTTCAAGATTCTGTGGAAACACAAGGGGTCAAGCGAAAAAGAGCTTTTGATCCTTTAGATCTCTCATTATGAACCCAGATATTATTCAAATATGAACCCAGATATCATTCATGGGTGGCAGAGTTACGGAGTTTTACACTCTCGAGACGCACCCTTCTTTTATGGGTTCTATTATGTAATCTTTGCGTATTTTGTATTCATCGAGTATTTACTGCCTCTTTTCCATATTTCCACCATCTGAACATTTTGTACTTGTTTCTCAGTAATAATAATATCAATTTCGATTTTTCTCAGTGTATAGTAGTTCATGACTACAATCATTATCATTTGTGCTTCTTCCGGAGCACTTTATTGTAATATCTGTATGATCTCGTATCCCAATATGTTCTTGTCATCTGATATATCCTCTTAAACTCATATAATATATTGAGAAATCATTTTGTGTGATCACCCATAACTGGTAGCTTTTGATACCACTTTCTCATTTTGTTCAATCATCCAATGGTAGCTTCTAGTACCATTTCATCACTTTGTTTAATCATAAAGTGGTAGCATCCAGTACTACTATACCATGATATTATTTAACCATTATGCCATAACTTCCGACATCACATTAATCATGTGGTAACTTATAGTACCATCTCATCAATGTTCATATCTCCATAAATTTGGAGAATTTATCAACTGATACTTCAGGACCAGGTTAGTCCATATAATGTCTGTTCATGACAAGGACTTTAATTAACTTTCACATGGTCAGATACAAAGTATCATTAATTTCACTCATTGGCTATCACTTAATTTGTACTGCCCATCGCCGGCGGCAGTGCCGCACTGGCCGACCCATGTATATGTATAGCCATTCATTTCCTTTTATATGTATATTTGTTTGCACATGGCCATATCATATGGCCATTCCATATCACCAGTTATCATTAATATGTTTTTCATTTGGCCATCACCGGTCATTATTATTCAATACACTTATCATCTGGCCATCACCAGTCATCATTATTCAATACATTGACCGGTTCACTTAGTTGATCAAATCTTCTTTTGTATTGTCTATTTCAGTGGATACACTGCTCGACCATTTCACATGATTTTTCATATTTCAACAGTTGACCCGTTGGCTAAATATCACTTGCCGGCGGCAGAGCCGCACTGACCGGTCTATGTAGCCACACATATTTATTTTTCATATCACACGGGTCAATCTATAAATATTTGCATGTTCACATACCAAATAATTTTCTCAATAGAAAATTTAAACATTTCATAATACCAATATATATAATTTAATAAACTATATCAATATTGGTCTTAAAATGAGACTATCATTAAATAGTAATATGCAGTCAATAAAAATATATTTCAATAATTCTTGTTTTTATTATATTTGAAAATAATGATTCTATAGTTAAATGATCAAGTAATATATATCATATCAATATCCTCTTAATAATTATATATGAGTCTAATAAATGTTTGTGTTGGAACTTGGATTGTGTTAATTAATATGGACAGCTCACGCTAGCTCATAGTCGGCCCATCCAATTTGATCCAATTAATACTAATATTCTAAACAATTAACCATTCAATATATGAAAACTTTTAATAATTAAATCATGAGAACAAATAAATGATTATTTGCCCAACCTATTTGATCTTTAGTTTATTAGGAGGTGGGTGTTGAAAGGAACCTGTTGGAGCCACAATAATTCATACGCTTACTTACTGTAGATGTTGCAGTTCTTTGTAATCTGAAGCGTTTACGTCATGTTGATTCTGGGAAGGGCCTCCTGATTTTTGTATAGGCTTCAGAGGCACATCAGCTGGGTCGTCCGACCTTCCATATGACGGAGCAGCAGGTGCTTGATGGTTTCATGGAGTTCAAGGAATCCATGTATGTGACCAGGTTGGAGGCGCATCCCATATGCTCCACCGCAGGTTCGGTGTCTTCCGCCAAGGCCAAGACCGTGATGACTGCCACGATTGGGGAGGAGAATGTTTTTATTTATTTATTTATTATTATTATTTCTCTCTTTGGTTTTTGGTAAGGATCACAAGAAATAACGAGTTGTAATAATTCGATTTCTGATACAGAAGATCGTCTATAAGACGCAACTGTAGAGCATACTCTCGTCATATCGAACTCTAGAGGGTAGAGACTCGTGCTGATAACGTATTATAAAACTAGAGAGAAAGAGAGAAAATAGAGAAAATATATTCTCTTATGTGTGTATTTCATTATAACTGAAGCTCCTATTTATAGGAAACTCCTGATGGCACAACTCGTATTAATATTTCACATACATTATTTTATTATTTCATAACAAAATAAAACATTTCCTTTTTTTTTTAACTCGGTATATTACTTGGACCGGTGTTCCAATTTTGATACATCTATCTACGAGATCCCATATCCGAATCAATCGAGATCTCGTTGCCCGGCGACTAGAGACCACCGAAATCCTTCGTATTGCAATTCCCTCTCCGTCTCCCTTGTTGAAAGAAGAAAATCCAAGCTCCGATGGGATCCATTGTGTCCAGCGTCCTCGGCGGAGAAGCAGCGGCGGCGGAATCAACCGGTGGCGAGTCGTCTGGACCGTCGCGTGTCCTCACCTTCCACTCGTCTCAACGATGGCAGCTCCACCACAACTCTTGCAAGCAATTGAATAAACTGGTAAAATCGCTCATGCCCTTCCTTCTTCTCGCTTTCGACGCAACTCGGTCGGATCTAATTGCGAAAACTCGATTCCGTTTTATTATTTACACCTCCAATAATTTGCTGTTAGCTAAGGCTTTTGACTGTTTACGATTATTTTGGAACGGAGCTATCAGGTTTTCCGATCTGATTGCCGTTGTTGTTTTCCGGTGATTTGTTTTTGTAATTAATTTTGCGCAGGTGGTGGTGGATTTCTCAGCTACATGGTGTGGGCCGTGCAAGATGATGGAACCGTTCTTCAATGGATTGTCCGCTAAATACACTGATGTTGACTTTGTGAAAATCGATGTTGATGAACTCTCTGTAGGTTTTCTTTTTCTTCTCCTTTTCAATTCGACCAAATGATGTGGATGTTTACGATTAATTCCCAATTCTAATACCAAAATTGGATTTCTGGCGAATCAAACAAAAAAAATGCTTGTTGATGATGATGATGAATATTTATATTATACTAAAAATTGGATGTGATTTTTTCTGGTTTAGGATGTGGCACGCGAGTATGAAGTTCAGGCCATGCCAACATTCGTATTACTAAAGCAAGGGAAAGTAGTTGAGAGGGTCATTGGAGCCAAGAAAGATGAGCTTGAGAATAAGATCCTCAAGCACAGGGAAGCTCCTAAATTTGCTGCCTAATTTAATTTGAAGTCTTATTTTCTTGTAACTTGAAATAGATACTGAGTACACAGTAATGTGATGCTTGATGAATGTGTTGATATTGATACATTTTCGAGTAGAACCCATTCAAAGAGTGATTATATATATGGGTTCTAGTGAAGGAATTCTACCAAAGATTGTTTGTCATGTCAGGCTCCATTCGGATTGGTGTATTTGCATTTGGGGATCATAATCTCGAGAACAAATCCGTAGAATCTGATTGCGATTGAATATGATTATATGGTATTGGCTTTCATTAACATCCTCGAGCACCTATCATAAGCTATTTTGTTGGTGGTGTCCTAGTAGAAGGTATTATTTATCTTTAATATTAAGGTCCTCTCAAGTCTCAAATTATTTCCTCAAAACTGATGATCATTTAATCCAAATCAGTTCTTCCAAGTTCAGAACTTTCTGTTGAGTTTTTATTGCTTACGAAGTGGGTTCAGTCTTGTTCTCTAGATAGAAAGTTGTTTTCAACACAATGTGCTGATTATGTGGCTAAGACAAAATTATCCAACAAATACTGTAGTTTAGGGAAGTGATTTTATTCACTAGGAGCACGTTTGTTAGAATTGATTAGATAAGATTACCCCCTTTATCTACCCTAAAATTGGTGTTTGTTTGCACTGATTACGGCCCGTACGATTACGTCTGGCCCGCGACATTTAATGCTTAATCTTGGTTTCAGCAGATAACTTGTCTTGGGGAGGATGCCAAGATTGAGAATATCTATACAGTATCTTTGTTCGTAAAAGACATAAATATCCCCCAGTTTTTTTTATTTTGAGACTATAATACCCTGTTGGGTTGACGTAATTAATTAAAAACTGCCCTTATTTTATACCATACCTTATCACAGAATCTCCATTATTAGTGTTCTTTCTTCTCCAATATCTTCTATATCATTCATTGAAAATCACCATTCGAGAACAATGGTGTTCCACTTCTTCTAATTTGATGAGCCCCATCAAAAGTTTGTGTATTCATGTCGAAAATTTTGGATCTGTTATCTTTTATTTTGGATTTTTTTTAATTTTTAATTTTTTATTTTGAGAATTTTTTACTTAAATTTTTTTGCACCCTGCTTTTTTTATTTGACTTTTTTTTTATGGTGGATTAAAAATTCAGATTTCAACCAAAAGTTAAGCTTACTTGTCGTTGTGATTTGCGTAAAACCAAAGGGAAAAAAATAAATAGATTATATAAATGGATTCTTTTCGTTTAATGGACATGAGAAAATGTTCTCCTCATAAATGTTGTGATATTTAATTTGATACCTAGTTCTGTGTTGAATATTAATTTTTGGTTTATGGTGTAGAATGTATTTTGTACAATGGCTGAATTTTTTTTTTGGAAAATGGGGTAAAACACATATGTGGAAGTTTGGAAGACATAGTTTGATACTTATTTTTATCATACAGGCAGACATTCGAAGTAATACGAAAGGAGAAAAGAAACATTAACAAAAACTTAAACTAAAATAAAAAAAAAAAAAAAAATATTTAACAAATATACTAACCAACGGACACACAGCTTGTGGTAAAATAATAGAAACAAAAATACATTGTGCAAATATAGATATGGGAAAAATTGTTCGAAAAAGAAGTCTTAATTTGAAAAAATCAAGATACAAGAAAGCATGCATGCAATATTAATTTATATACTTTTTTTAAAGGACAAATAAGTAAATGAACCATTTATCCTATCAATTATCTAAGGCAACAAATAAATAGTACATTATATCCTATCTAGTTTATCTTGTGTCAATCATATACAACAAACAAAAGTTTTTATCCTAACTTAGCTTATCTTATGTCAATCATATACAACAAACAAAATTTTATTCTAACTCTACAAGACAATCTTGTTATTCAAGATAAAAATTATCTAATCCGATCACCCTAAACAAACAAACATGCTTTAGGAATCTTGTAATGATAGTGTCACCTAGATTAGCTTCTCAATGTTTATAAAATTTTAAGTAGGTGGGTTGGGGTCTAATGCTTGGACACCTATTTAGGCCAAATTTTCAATTTTCACATTTTCAATACTACTCCTCTATTTTACAAAAAAAATTATGAATTAAACTTAACTTCAATTTTGCTATGGAGCCATCGGATGTCTCGACTTATGGAGTCATATAAAGTTATGAATGGATTCATAAGGGAGCTATCTGATGGTTCCATATTATTTCTGAACTTATATATTATCTTATATTCAATTGTTAAAACATGTACTAAAATTAATTATAGATCAATAATTCGTATACAATAAACAAAATTGAAATCGACATTTATTAAATTTGAAAAATTATATTAATTTTTAAAATTTCAAATCTAATTTAGTAATTTTAATTATTTTTAGCTGGTATATGTAAAAAAATAGTTTTTTTTCTTATTTCAACAAATAAAATATCTATAAATTTGATAGTGTTTATAATTTATTATGTATTTTTTAATGTCTCTTTTTATAGATAATTAATCTTATTATCGGATATAGAGATTCTATAAATCTATATTTTAAAAAAAAAATATACTACTATTTCATTAGTGTTGGTTATATAACTTAGGTTCTATTTATTATGTTAAACATTTACACCGTTCAATGGTTTCATTTCATTGGTTTATTAGTGACTAAGTTTTTCTATCTTAATTTACTTTTATGTTAATAAAACATTAAGATTGAAATTATATACCCCCTTTAATATATAATTCCCGAATGTGTTGAGCCTAAGTGGCATGTATGTATGTTTCGGGATTTTATGTGGCAAAATTTCATTCTTCATTATTTGGCTTGGATAGATTTTAATCTATTTCTAATTTAAAAATAATTGGGTTCGAATTATCCATAATATGTTGATATTTATGGACATTTTAGATGTATTAGTTGCATTTTAATATCAATTTCTAATATAACTATTGAATTGTAAATCTATCATTATAAAAAAAGAATAACCATTTTACAAATTTAGAAACTTTTTCCCGCCAAAATCATTAAATATATCCTATATATAGTAATTGTTGGACAAATCTGAATAGGCAAAAAAATCCGCTCATTAATTCTGTAAAGATTTGTTTCTCTTTTTCCTGTTTCTTAGTTTATCGTTTTAACAATAAATATTTGTTTTTCTTTTTCCTATTTTTAGTATAAATCTACACGAGCTTATCTCTTCTGTTACAAAATCCCATTGCAATCTTAGGTGTTTAAAAAATCTCATCTCTTATCTATACAGATTTGAAAAAATAAAATAATATAGAAATCAATTCATAATTACTACTAGAATATCATTATCTTTAAAAAGAAAAAATAAAATAAAATAGAAACCAATTCATAATTACTACTAGAAATCTATTATCTACTTTAAAAAGCTAATTTTCATCGGTCTAATTACTAATATTTTTACAAATATTCTAAGCTAACCATACAAAAAAGTGTAATGATAATTTTGAAATGGTGTGGAATCAAATTTTTTTATATTCTCTTATACAAAATCATTTTACATTGTTTGACCCGAATCTTTAATTTATAATTATTAAGTATTGTTTATCCTCCTCTTTTATTTATAATTATTTTTTTTTCTTCCTCTTTTTAAATACGATCAATAGTAGTTTTCACTTCCGCCATTAACTCAAACTCGAGGTCTATTTATAATATTGTTAATTTAATATTGTTCTCGTGCATCGCACGGGGTACATACTAGTGTATTTTAAAAGTTGATAATTTTTGTATTTTATATCGATTTTACATATACAATATATCAAATTAATCATCTCTTAATGATCTTCAATTTGACATCCATGTTGTATGTATAAAACAAATATTTTTTTTTTTCTTTGCACTTACCGGCCTTGTACGGGTCTTTACGGCACGCAGAAATACAAAAGGTTGCGCAAGGGAGGGGGAGGNAATAGCGAGTATGTCATCCTAACAGAATATGAATCACCCTTGCTTTTTTTTGTTCAAAACGATAGAGAAGATATATATAACTCAAAGCGAACCAAGTTCGAATACAAAGACAAACTAAATCGAAATAAAAACTGGGAGGACTCGCATGCAAGCGGCCTAGACGCCCATCAGGGACTAAACACAAACAAACTACAAACAGGACACTATTCAAAACAAAGGATATAAAACCATTGCAAATGCCTAGTTCTAAATCCCTTGTCCAATAGAAAAGAGAAGAGAAAAACCAGAAAACTGAAAAAAGAAGGGAAGAAAAGCTAAGCAAACTACAAAGAACCAAAATCCTGCCATTCTCTAATTGCATTTTTAAGTACAAAATGAGTTGGCAGGTAGGTGCCCTCAAACAACCAGAGATTCCTCGACCGCCAGAGCCACCACAACATATAAGTGGTGAGCTGGATTCTGGCTTCAGCAACTTCACCTTTACCACTGTAGCTAATGTGTCTCCACCAAGAACAGAATGTAATGCCAGGGTCTGAAGTTCATCCCATTGGATAGGGCTTATATCCCATAGTCTTCTGGCTTTAGTGCAGTGAAAGAAAACATGTTCTACTGTCTCAGGCTCATCTCCACATGATTGACACATAACATCAATGTCCAAACCTCTGGTTTTTAGGGCAGTTTTGACAGGTAGTGCCCTAGAGCTGCATTTCCAGAGCAGATGTTTGATTTTTGAATTGATTTTCAGCTTTCAAGTATTGGTTCTCACTGCTTTGATGGCCTTAGAATTTAAACTGCCCTCTGGAATATCTAGGCTTTGTACCTTCCTTAGAATCAGCTGAGAGTAGATGGAAGAGACAGTGAACTTTCCTTTGCTGTGAAGGCTCCAAACCTTTCTGTCAGGTCTGTCTGGGTTTAGAGTGTTGATTTTCAAAATAGTTGTGCTATCATCTGCCCCAAATAATTGCTGCATAAACCATTTGTTCCAACCAGTTCCACTGGTATCAAAGAGCTCTTTCACCCAAACAAGATGACCTCTTGCAATTGGCAGCATCTCAGGTCTCAGCTTTCCCAAATTTGGCACCCAGTTAGCTTCTTCAATTTTTGTGGTTGCCCCATTTCTCACCTCAGTTCTGTACCCTCTAGCAAATTCTGGTAGAACTGTCAACCAACTATTCCACAGCCAAGAACTATGTTGGGATTTGTTCGCCTCAAAGACAGAAGTAGTAGGAAAGTACCTACCTTTAAGGATTTGACTCACAAGTAAATCAGGTTGAGAGGTAATTCTCCAAGTTTTTACATATCAGGGCCTTGTTAAATAGCAGCACATCCAAAAAACCCAATCCACCTTCACTCTTTGGGATTGTTAATGAAGCCCAAGATTTCCAATGCAGACCCCTATCTTGCTGTTCTCCCCTACTCCACCAGAATTGTGCACACAACCTTGAGATCTCATTGGCCACTGTTATAGGGATTTTGAAACAAGCCATTGTGAAGCTTGGCAGGGCACTTAATACTGCTTTTATGAGCACTTCTTTTCCAGCAGCAGCCAACAGTTTGTTTTTCCAGCTAGTTAATTTGGCTCTGACTGCATCCAAAACATAGGTAAAAGCCTCCTTTTTGGACTTCCCAATCCCCAAAGGAAGACCAAGATATCTGCATGAATGGTGAAGCTTTATACCTTGCAAGCTGTGGCATATGTTGTGTTGCAAATGCAGTGGAGTGTTTTTACTGAAAATGATAGAAGATTTTCCCCAATGGACTTTTTGGCCAGTAAAGAGCCTGTATTTTTCCAGAATTGAAGTGAGAACTTGAGATTGATCCACCCCTGCTTTACAGAAAAATAATGCATCATCTGCAAACAATAAGTGTGAAAGGGTGGGGCCTTCCGTTGAAAGTCTCAAACCAGTCAATGCACCATTATCCACAGCTTATTTGACCATAGTTAAGGTTGTTAATGGATATATTAAAATAATAA